AGGTTAAGCTTTTAATGCAAATGTGACAGCAACATAATGTACAATATGACAAAATGTGATGGTACTGGCCTAATTGCTCACAACTAAAAAGAATTAATATTGAATGAGGCGCCTTCAAAAACACGCTAGATTTCAGAGCCTCCATGACCAACACATATACACACACGATAGCCCCAATGGGCCTGGCAGAGTGACACCCTCGTTCCTGCACTTTTGTGAGTATTTTATGTTTTATGAGAACATGTAATGAGGTATAAGCTGCAATGTAAAGATAACTGATGGGTTTTGTGACATCTCCCAACAACTACAATAATAAATACTGGAAATGGAAAACTGTGACAACTTTTATAAAGGTCAAATATTAAGCTGTGTGTGTGTTTTTAGTACAATCATGTAATTTTAAAGTATGTTTTATTAATCAAAATTAATAAATCATGACTACAATAGCAAAAAAAACAACAACAACTGTACAGTTCTAGTCTGCTACAGCATGATGACTGCTCAGTAAAATAAAGTTCATCACCTAAATAAATGGATTGAAACAGTTGAGCCTTTATGAGTTCTGACGATAAAGACCCTTGGTTGATCTAAATCGATCGAAGAAGACATTAGATCTTGGCATTATATTTTACGATGAAGGATGGCCAAATCGTATTTCAGTTTAACAGAGAACCGCATTCAAGGTGAGGTCAGAGGACAATCCCTCTTAGCAGTCTCTTCCACACCTTTATGCCATTTGTGATTCGCAACAGAAGCGATGTAAGGCATGAGGAGAACACTGGTTTTCAAGACAGGAGCAATCTGAACTGTGTGTTTGAATCTAGTCTTTTGGCTTGATGTGAAAAGCCCGTAAATCAGGTGCGCGTGTGGAATACCAAATCGCAGGAGAGAGAATAGAACTCATCAATCATGGGTGACGTGCGCTTTGCTGCACGGGAGGGAAGCCAAACCACATTAGTGTTGATGCAGCAATGCTGTGGTATGGAGGATGGCAGGGGGAAAAAGAAGGCAAACAATTCAGAATTATAGACTATTAATAGAATTATAGACTATTAATGGAAAACATTATGGAAACAGGTCAAGTAAGTGCACTCGATGTGAGGCCTTTTGACGATTATGGACTTGACAGGTTCACCCTAAGCAATAGTTAGCCAGGTATTATTTTGAAATAACTGTCAATGGACAAAATTACTTTTACTGCCAGAGGGTAAAGTTACGGTATCTGCTAGCAAGGGCTAATAAGGTCATGCTAACAAGCCAAACCTTGACCCTTTAGTCAAGCACACCGTAAGACAAACTGTTTTCTTTTTCAGTTGTTCTTTTGTGCTGTCAAGACCTATCATCACAATGGGAAAAAGGGACACATTTTGTGCAAGAGACTTAGGGATTTGCACGTAATAATGAAAAAAGTTTGTTCCTTGACTTGGGGAAGTCACAAGAGAAAAACATGCCAATCTGCTGGTCTTCTGATGTGCACCTCTGATCTCTCAAAAAATGCTTTGAGGTGGTAGATCAGAGAATGGGCAGGGACCCATGTGCAGAGGTCAACAGCGCTGTCAGGATGTCATTCTGTGTGTGCCTTTGTGTTCTTACCCACCTTTATAGTCTTCTCTTCCTGTGACCTGATTTGTCATACCTGTTTACCTGTCTAGCATGCCTTCCTGCCTTTCTTGTTTCACTCAGCCCTGTCTTGCTTGCCACCTGCATATATGCCCTATTATGGCCCAGCCAGAGGCAGTGTCTGCCTCTAATGACACCTTACTGCACTACTGACAGGTTTCTTAGTCCGAAGGAGTAAAGGTAGCACCTGTCTCTTGGGAAAAGCATGAACATATGTAAATATAGCCATGTACAATCCACGCACAAAATCGACTCCTTAAAAAGTGGCAATTGACCCCAGCTGTCAACACACGATGTCAGCGGAGTCCTGAGTGGCAAACTGGGAAAACTAGCATTTTGTAAATGATATAAGTATAAAAGAGGATGATCTAAAATTAGGGAAAGATGGTTCAAGAGGGAAGGATGAGTGTGAAGCAAAGATAAGAGGCTAAAAAAAGGTATGAAGCGATACTCAAGGAAAAAGTAAAAAAAGAGCCCTTGGAGGATAAAGTGGGGGTGTCATTAAAGACATTCTCATAGCCCCAGGAAGATCACTAGGAAAAGAACAGTGAAAATAGAGAGAGCCATTGTGTTTCACACTACATTTTGCACTGTTTCACACTATGTGTAAGGATCAAACAGTATTGAAAGAACCAATAAGTGTAAAGGAGTCAGGATTAGAAGGATGGTTAGAAGGTTTTTTCATTAACAGGATGTGTTTGAAGTTCCCCATAGACAAAACCATTTCATTACGGTCTTGGGAATCGCTGAGCGTACATACGTTAATGAGGATAAATAAATAGTAGAGGAAGTTTGTCATCCTGTGATTACTGTAACTAAAAATTTCAAAGAATCATAAATCTCTTTGGGATAAAAGAACAAGCAAGAGCCTGCATGACAAAGCATATTAAAAACCATCCTATCACCTTCAAGTAGATGCCTCACAGGTAGAAAAAGGTATTGCAGATAGACGTATCAGTGTAAAAATACAATGTCCTACCACACCCCAAAATACAACTGCTCCTAAAAGACAAAAAGTCAACTTGATTAACAGGACTTATTAAATATGCACTAACAAATCAATATGCAATTGTAAATTCACACCTCATCCAGGGTTAAACAAACCACTAGGGATGCACCGAAATGAAAATTCTTGGCCGAAACCGAAAAAGAGGAAACCAAGGCCGAAAACCGAAACACCGAAAGAAATTATGCCAATTATTAGTACCATTGCATTTATGGCTATGACTGTGTACTAACTTTACTAAAATCAAGGCATTGCAATTGCATAAATTAATATTAAAGTTTCAAAGAATAAATCAATTTTAAATTATGGAAATATTTATTTAGCACATTGCAACAATGCACAGTATAAAATAAAATTCAAACTAAAATGTTTAACTTCCCCCCGCTCATGTGTACATTAAATAATAATGTACAGTCCTACTGGCTTGCAGAAAGGTTTTAATTAAATGTTCTCTCATAAAAACAAAGTGCATTTAGGTCAAGTACATTTTACATTTTTCTCTGTAGGACTACTACAAGAAAGGGCATTCAGAACAAGTGCAACTGCTTAAAGATACAACAATATTTTCTCTGTAGGTCTTCAACATAATAGTGTTTCAAAACAAAGACTGCCATAGCCCATATGTTAACTGTAGAACTTTAACAACAACAAATCCACCAAGAATTGCAGATGTGCAAAGTGGATAATAAATATTTAAACACTAGACAAGCCCATTCTACTTCTTGAGGTAAAGTGGCAGGTTTTTCTTGAAGAAAAATAGCTTCTCTGCTTTATCACAGTGAAGTCGGTTCCTCTTCTCATCGAGAACATGAGCTGCTGCACTGAACAGTCTCTCGCTGTCAGTGCTTGTGCACGGAGCAGACAAGTACTTGCGTGCCATCTTTGTATGTATGTATCACACTCATATCACATCTAGTTTTTTTGGATAAGAATTAGGGATGCACCGAATATTCGGCGTTTTCCTTTTCTGTGCCGCGTTCCTCTCATATTCAGCGTAGCGATCAGAATGTTTGGATTTCAGGTGATAAATTAAACCCGACGTGGAGAAAGTCTTTGTAGATGCACCCCCTCTTGAAATTTCGGCATTACTTGTTTTGCAAATCGCTGTCCGTGGGTCTTTCTCAGATATACTGAAATACGTCCACACCGAAGACATGTTGCTTCAGACAAGCACGTGCAGGTCGCGGTTTCTGTTTGCGTCATCACAACATTTTGGCCGTATTGTTTCGGTGATAAAAGTCTTTCGGCTGAAAACCGAAAATGCACTTTTGGGCCATTTTCGGACGAAAATTTTCAGTGGCCGAATATTCGGTGCATCCCTACAAACCACACAATGTGCCAAAAACATTTAAAAAATGTGTCATTCCTAAAATATCCCTGCCAAAAACATATCCCTCCCACACATACTTTTATCCAACAATAACAATCTCCAAAAAAGGCATCAAAACAGCACAAAAGGTGAAGGACCTTCAAATCCAATCAAATCAAATCTTTACTTTATTTGTCCCTCAAGAGGGAAATTTGTTTTGGGCAATACAGGTAAAACTGCACAACAAAGTACCAACATCAATACTAACAATCACACAGTTGTGTCCCCTGAATCAGAGTTTAACAGCCTTGTAGCCAAAGGAACAAAATCATTTTTATAACGGTTATATCTAGACATCGGAATACGAAAACGTCGACCAGATGGAAGTAATTGAAATTCTTGCTGAAGCATATGAGAAGGGTACCGAGTCATTTTCACTGCCTGTTTAAGAATAACCTTATTAAAAACAGACTGAAAATTGGGATAAACCCTCAGACCAACCACTTTCATAGCAGTACAAACCAAACGGTTCAGCTGAGATCTAAGAGTAACTTTCAAATTACCAAACCAGGCTGCTATACCATACAGTAAGATGGATTCAATACGGGCATGATAAAACAACAACTTGACCCTCTGAGCCACCCCAAATAATCTAAGCCTCCTCAAAAAGTAAATTTTTTGTTGCACCCTTCTACACAGATTATCCACATGTACCTCCCATGAAAGTTTATTATCCATAAGCAAACCTAAATATTTGTATGATGCAACCTGTCTAACAGGCTTGTTGTTAATCATGATAGGTGAGTGATTGCCTACTGATTTATAATCAAAGATAATTTCCTCTGTTTTACTAACATTAATTACAAGACTATGTTCTTTACTCCATAACACAAAGTCAGCAATCTCTGTAGTGTAACACTGAAGGTCCTCATCCTTGTACAAATGACCAAGAATGGCAGTATCATCTGAAAATTTAACAACAATATTCACCTTCTTAAAAGCAGTTACAAAATGTACCTTGTTTCACGCCAAATCCAATGGACAATAAGCTTTGTCGAGTCTTACCTCACATTCTCTGGAGCCAGAGATAGTGTAGGTGCATGGCCCGGTACCATTGACCAGCACATCCGTGCCCTCTGTGTTATTAGGCTTGTAGTCCACATAGTACTCCTGCAATGGTGTGCTGAGTGTGCGCTCTGTCTCCCGTGACTTTTTCCGACGTTTGCGAGCAGCAGCCGAGTTTTCCTGTAGCTGCTTAACACTGCTTGGATAGCGCTTCCATGACACATAAATTACGAGGAGGATCATGGCAACTGACAGGAAGAGGGCAACACTTCCTGCCACTATCTTGTGGAATGATACAGGTTCAAAGTCTTGCTCAGGTGGTGGGACAGCGGGCTGAGAAGGTGCAGAAGAGGTGGTATCTTCCAAGGATGTCCCCTGGCCCCTTCTGCTGTCTCCAGATTTTAGAGTCGGGATGAAAGAGCTGGCTGGGGTCTGGGCAAAGGCGACAAAAGGGGTAGAGGGAACAATTACAGTTGATGGCATAGCAGGGGCAACCCTACAAACCCTATTGGCGTCAACGGCATCCATAACCTTCTCCCCTTGGACTTCTTTGGGTGATGCACAAATCATATTAATTTCTTTGTTTCCACGGAAGGTTCTCAGCCAGGCCACCAGTGGGCACACAACTGGTCCACAGTCCCACATGTTTCCTGCCAGACTAATTGCTGTCAGAGAGGTCCAGGCATCCACAGCTTCTTGAGACACATTGACAAGCTTGTTTGAATCCAGGTTAAGCGTCTGCAGATTCGGCATGGCCCGGTACACCTCTGCATCGATCTCCTGAAGGTCATTTCCTGAAAGGTCTAGCTTCTGCAATGATGTCCAGGTCCATGTAAGGCCTTCACTCATGGTCCTAATGCGGTTCCACTGTAGGTAAAGAGCACGCAAGTTATAGAAGCGTGGGAAGTTGAAAAAGTTGATTTTAGAGAACTGGTTATGCTCAATATGCAGCTCAGTTAGCTTCATCAGGCCGGACATTGAATTGCGAGTAATGCTGCGCAGTCGGTTGTAGCCAAGGTCAAGGAATTCAAGATTACGGCAGTCTTGAAAAAGGCGAGAGGGAAGATTCTTAAGGGAGTTGGAGCGCATGTGCAAGCTGAGTAGCTTGCGCAGTCCCTGGAACTGCCCTGGTTGTAGAGCTTGTAGCTTGTTATAGGAAAGGTCCAGATTCCTCAAGTTTGGTACCAGGTGAAATGTGGTGTTATGTAGCAGTGTGATCTTGTTGGAGCTCAATATTAGCTCTTTGAGCCTCCGTATCCCTTGAAAAGCACGTGCATCCACATTGGCAATGTAGTTGTGGTCCAGGTACAGCCAAATGAGCTGGTTGAGGCCAACAAATTGGCCTGACTTCAGGCTTGCTAAGCTGTTATACCGCAGAGACAGGCCTTGACAGCCGCCTGAGAGGTTCTTGGGAACATCACGGAATGCGCTAGACTCACAGTATACGATTTTGCCATCGCATCGACAGCTCCGAGGGCAAGGACGCTCACCAAAGCAAGGGGTGGCAGACAGCCATGCCTGCATTAGCAGTGGCACCATGAACCAGCGGTGCCTCATGGCAAAGCCTAAAATGGAAAAAGAAAACACTACTTACTTCCTGATTATACAAATACACAAATTAATAGGGTTTTAGCTAAATCGTGCTACTTAAAAAGGGATTTATTTAATTAAACTTGTATTCAATGAGTACATACAGTATTAGTCACAATAGTGGGCAAAAGTAAATCAAACAGCAAGAGAGTTTGAAACACATTTGAAACAGCATATTCACTCTCCCTGACAGAGTATCTCTCTCACTTTTTTGGCGCAGATTCAATCATGATCTTATTAGGGAGCTGTGATGCATTGCAATGTGTTGAATCGTGAAATTTGCAAAATGATGTGCATCATATTGTGAGGTAGTTGACAATACCCTGCCCTAATTATTGAGCAGTTACAAAGCAGAGATTAAGACGACTAATGAGAGAAGAAATATTGTAATTGTTCTGTGATTATAAACCCTTGAAATATTACATTTATACAGCAATATGATACCACACAGGACTCAATTAACAGTGGTGATTGTGCAAATCAATCCAGTCATGCTATGTTGTTTAATTCTTCTCTCTGGCAATGGCAAACATGCTATCAGAGCAAGCCAGTCCTCCAATAAGCTTGGACACAAGCCCACTACAGTATGAAAGGAAATGTCCTGAGAGATATTCCTCGGCCATCCTATTAGTCCCTAATTATAATCTAAATGATTGTCAGTCAACCAAATCAAATATATTTGCCTGGCTGCTCAGTGACTCTGCTATCAGCCTTTGTTCATCTTTCCTTAATACACAAAGGAAAGCCTAGGTGTTGTTATAGTCAAAATAAATGGGGGAGGTGGGGGGTGAAGCGAGGCATTATATCAGCAGTAAATTCTCGACTAAACATTGGCTCAAGGGGTTAGAGGTCTGGGTAAAATACACATGTTCTTTTTGTGAAGGTCTTGGCCAAAGCCTGGACATTTTCCAGTAATGGGATTTTATCATTTGTGCTGCATCTTTCTGGCCTTCATGCCTACACTGTGTTACTGTAAAAGGGTTTCAATTCTATCCCTGATGCATAAACTTTTACAAAGCTTGCTAGAAATTACATTTTGAAATGAAGTTCCTAAGGCATTATATGTCTGTACGAGATGAAGAATGTGGCTATGACACATTAATATTGTCATAAGAATTCATGAAAGTGGTTATGAAATATCAAAACATCCATTTTGCCTGAAAGCAAAATGACTTCAGACCCATCCAAATAACATTTTAAAACCATATGCATGGAATTGAATGGTTTAGATTAATCAGTACTGTTACAATAATTCTGCCAGATGTTCTCTGAGGTTGAAAAGGAGAAAATATTCATAAAGTACTCTATTTAACAGCATATCAGAACCAAACATTTGAATGGTCATGAACTGTATTAATACACCTCCTGTTCATGATTATAATATAGAGTGGCCTCAAAATATTACTTCCATTATACCTACAAATGGATGAAATCACTGCACAAGACAACTAAATAGCAAACCCTCTTCTCAACAAATGATGCTAGATCTTAGATTTAACTACACATTTCTTAGCCATTTTTGCAATTAGTTTTAATCAGCTGATAAGACTGCCCAAGTTGATAATCAGAAAACGTCTGAATAACTGTCTTAATTTAGAAAAGCATATCTCTTCTTATCACATCATGTCAAATCTAACAAACGTCTAGGCTATTTGTGAGATGTTTCGTTTTTTGAAAAGTTTGTGCCATCTTTCCTTTCCAAAAAAAAGAAGCTTTGATTTGATATTTTCTTATTTATCGCAATTAACTTCTTATATTTCTGCATGTCTGCAGTGATTAAAAAAAACAAAGCAAAGAGGTGCCGATAACCATGAGTGTACAGTTGCCAACAACTGATGCATAAGCAGGCTGCGGTACAATAAAGTAATTACGTCACTGGCTCCCATTCATACTATCCAGACAATCAGATTGTATCAGCTTAATGACATTGCTAATGAAATGATGCTGATAAAGGTAATGATCCAAGAGAAGTCTAATGAAAATTAATTTGTAGCAAACTTGCACTGCCACTTTTCTTATTTTAGATGCAACTACACCTTTTCCTCTCTTGGTAAAACTGATTTTGCCTCTGCACAGGCCTACATACCCTTCACAGTGATGCTCCAAAATTTTTGCCAGGTTGGTTATTTTATGTTTGCTGTCAAAATCTCCCACTACAGTGCCGCAAAGCAGTAAGCATAGCTCATCATTTTACGAGCTGTGGAAGGCCATCTTGCTGCACATCGCTAACGAATAACAATCAGAGCAGGTCACATATCTGTCAAATAGCCCCTGTAAAATGATTGAAAGCACATTTATAATCAAGTACTCTAATGTGGCCATGAGAAGGTCTGTGGCTTACAGTTAATCACAGTTCTTAGTTAAATTATGAGTCTAGAAATCATGAGAAATATGTAAGGAATATAACTAGTATGCATCCTTTACCAAATGCAAATGAAACAGATTAATATCTAAAGACACTGTTAACACTAATCCAATGCATAATGATTGTGTCCTCGTTGTTTTCTGTCAATACATAAAATCTGTTGTGTCGCCTTCCTTTGAAAATTAAGAAATAACACAGTTGCTCAAACGAGCTAATTATGCAAACTGAACAACAATTCATTAAGCTCTCCAGGCATTGTATGCACACTTGCGTTGCAAAAAATGTGCACACATACCACAATGCATGCACATAATGTGCATATTTTCCAACAGTACACGCAAGTATGAAATCTACAAAAGATTATCAACTATCTGTGTACGATCCCACTATCAATAATGCACAGGCACACTCTGAGAAATCGCCTTGCAGCCAAAGAATGAGGTTCAATTAGCATTCCAGTGTTAATCAATGAGTTGGCATCAGTCTGCTCTTTAAATCAGTGAGAGATGAAGAACAGAGATAGGCCAATAATCAGTCTGACCAATATTTTTACCAATATTCACACTTTTCAACTCAACTGGTTGTCAGGTTTGTGGATGAATGGCAAAGAGCACTTAACAACAGCATTTATAAGTAAATAATAACATTATTTAATATATTGTTTGGACATTCAACATTTTAGATAAGGACCATTCATTCTCGATTGAGAAATATGTTGCTTAGCAATTAGCCCTAAACCCTATAGTAGCCTAGTCCAAACCACATATTGCAATGGAATTGCTATCATTGAGATGATCTACATATAATGTCATAAATAACAGCAATAATGTTTTATCAAGTTTTTTTTATAAAAACGTTTTAGAATCTCGTTTTAAATATTTTACAATTATACATTAGTAGCAGAATAAATATTAAATAAACCCCTCACACATAATGTTGTTTTGCTGTAGTACAGTGATCATTAAAATATTATTGTAAAAAAAAAAAATCAGTTATACATAATAGTTATCAGACTCTTAAACATAAAAAAACAATGCCTATAGGTCATAAAACACTGAATAAATGACCATCAAATAAACGAACAGAGGGATGCACTTGACTGTGTCTAAACCAGAATCAAACCACTGTGAGCTGAAGTGAACGCACGGTCAAATGTGAGCAAGAAATATGTGTGATTATCAAATGTACAATAAATCGATACATGCAAATTAAGGAGAACACCCAATGGATGTATGCATAAACATGCATGAACATTTTGTGCTTTATCAGAGTAACGTTACATTCAATCTCTTAGTTTTACTGCATGCACACCGTCTGAAGCCAGTTCACATTACACTGCAAAATGAATAAAACTACAGGAAATTTCCCCCCAATTTATCAACCCATAAAACATCGTGGTTTCCACGTCCACTTAGGACCAAGTGAGAATACGCAAACTTACCCATCACCGCGTCTCAGTCAACCCCTGGCCACAGGTTTTACAGCTTTCTACCGCTCGAGACCCGAGACTGCATGGCACGCGCTCTCTTCAGATGGTTCGGGTCTTTCACGAGCGCCCGCCTGTAGTCCTCCACCGCAGAGCAGGCGCTGGAAATCTTCAGTCTCTCCTGACTGACCACTGACCATATCGTTCAATTCCCCTCAAAACAAAATTCTCATCATAAGCATCCACTTGAACAGAAAGAACCCATTTTACATCCTAAAATTATACCTCAAGTCACAAACAGAGCCGAAGACGGGCGATTCCAAATCCAAGTTATCTACCACAAGTCAAACTTATGGAAATCCCAGCAATCCCCTTCCGCCTCAGTATATTCCATCGCAGCATACTGCGCAAATACTGTCTTTCCCGAAAGGATGATGCTTACCGTAGATTAATCCGTGGCTATTATAATATCAGTGTGAATTAGGATGTTTAGAAGATTTCAATCCAGTCCAAAATGACTGCGCTCATAGTATACTGTTTAGAAGTGTTACTCCATCGGGAATGTTTCTCCTCTCCTGTACGGTTCCCGACAGTACAGAGATGCAGCAGGATTGTGAGCGGTTAACCACAACCGCCTGTCGCACCATAACTTTGTCAGACAGCATCCGAATGCCCTCTTCTGGCGAACCGACATCTCCAGCAGCAATCTCTTCTGATTAATCCGTGGCTATTATAATATCAGTGTGAATTAGGATGTTTAGAAGATTTCAATCCAGTCCAAAATGACTGCGCTCATAGTATACTGTTTAGAAGTGTTACTCCATCGGGAATGTTTCTCCTCTCCTGTACGGTTCCCGACAGTACAGAGATGCAGCAGGATTGTGAGTGGTTAACCACAACCGCCTGTCGCACCATAACTTTGTCAGACAGCATCCGAATGCCCTCTTCTGGCGAACCGACATCTCCAGCAGCAATCTCTTCCCCTCTCATTTCACTCTCACTCGATATTTCCACTGGAAAACGAGTGGGTGATACAACAAGTCTATTAGCTCGACTAACGTAAAAGAAGAACAAACAACGATCCAGCTGAAGAGAAATGTCAATTGCTCTACCCAGCTAGACATTATCAGAAATCTCCAAATAGTTTATGTACTGATTTTATGTTCCTTTTTACGCTTTAGATGATTTATGGGGAGATAAATGAAACTATTTTGTTCTGGTGCACGCATGTGGTTTTGGATTAATTCAAATCTACACACTGTACAGTTTCATATCTCTCTTTCTTTCAACTTCATTTACAGCAGATTATTCATAGCTAATGGATGATTTACCTGTGTATTTGATCATTCTCGTGCTGCCACAGAGGATGGTGGGAAATGTAGTTTGCTCACACAGCCAATAAGATAATTAGCATTTAGCAGCCTTGGGTTCACTCATAAATTTAGATATTGATTTGTTTTTTGTTTTATTTTGATTTTTACATTTGGTATAACATTAATATACAAGCATACCAAGGTTAGTTTTTAAGTAGCCGTGTTTTAAAAATGGTAAGTCGCTAAATAAAGGATATACTTATCAGTCATCCCTTGTTTTCCAGATATTAAATATGTTTTGTCTAAATATATAATGTTATTAGGTATTTTATTAATTATTTCAGATTGTTTTTCATTTGATACAAGCTCACCTAAAGACCCTGGGTTTGATTGACATTGCTGTTATGAATTCCATAATGACAGTCTAATCAATTATTATGGGCTCTCACATGGACTGGAATCTGATTGGCTGTGGTTGTCCTCATTGCAAATGAAACGTTTGAGTGGCACTGCTATTTCCTGCTTCATCATTAGCGCAACCCTGCAATTTCTGTCCATCAAGTGTCCCCTTCAAACTAACAAGCCAGTTAACAAAAGCATTTAACCTCTCAAGGCTGTGAACTGATTGAGCAAAGCCAATTACTGTGAAGCTGACCATCTTATATATTAAATATTATATAATAGGTGAATGCCTGAATAAGAGAAATGTTGTTGCCAAGAATGAAAGAGGCTTGTGTTTCTAACATGTCCTACCTGTCTTTAAAGAGAACAGCTTATCCCTGTGCACTGAGTCTCAGCAATTGTACAATTGCCTGGAAATCGAGGCCAGGCAGCAGCAGTCTTTAACAACAGTTCAGAAAGAGGTCATGGCAGGAGAAAGTGTGTTCCTGACTATGCTGGTTTTTCCACCTCAGGACCACAAATATTTTTTGTAGGTTTTGGTAGATGTTCTCATCACTGCTATGCTATTGCTTAAAGGAATAGTTTATAAAAAAACAAACAAAAAAAAAAATTGGCTGAAAAATTACTCACCCTCAGGCCATCCAAAACATCACTTGCTCACTATGAGTGAATGGGTGCCGTCAGAATGAGAGTCCAAACAGCTGATAAAAAACATCACAATAATCACAAGTAATCCACACAACTCCAGTCCATCGGTCAACATCTTATGAAATAAAAACAAAACTGTAGTTGTAAGACGCAAATCCATTATTGAGACATTTTAACTTTAAACTGTAGTTTTGTCACACACAAAAAAAAATCCATAATAAATATTTGACCAGTGAAAAAGTCAACCCTCTGTTGTCCTCTCGCATCAGAACCCACCAAAATATTTGTTAGAACTGTTCTGGACTGATTTTGCTTGTAAATACTGCTTAATCTCTGCATATTTCTCTCCTGATTCAGATTTCACTTGTGAAAGCAATGCTATGGATAGATTAGTTTTCTATTTTAGCCAAAAGCAATGCAGCCTTTCACTTCACAAGATGTTAATTGATTGACTGGAGTGGTGTGGATTATGTGTGGATTATTGTGATATTTTGATCAGCTGTTTGAACACTCATTCTGACGGCACCCATTCACTGCAGAGGATCCATTGGTCAGCAAGTGATGTGATGCTAAGTCTTTTCCATGGAAGAAAATAATTCACATCTTGGATGGCCTGATGGTGAGTAAATTTTTGGGTGAACTATTCCTTTAAGTATTCGGAGTGTTTTTAGCAGTTGGCTGCACAATTAATAGAGCACTCTGGATGGTTGCTATGCAGGGGTGCGTTTCCAAAAAACATCGTTAGCTAACCATGATAGTTAGTTCCATTGAAATCTATTGGTAACGATGGAACTTGCGAACCATAGTTGCTTTTGGGAAACACACCCCAGAATGGTTGCAGGTCTCTGTAATGTTCTGGCAGCAATATATTTAGCTTTCAATGTAAATCTATGGGAGCTTCTTCTTTTTTTTTCCTTTTTTTTTTGCCCAGCAAGCAAAAATGGAATCTATTAATTTGCATACATTTTTATGAACACTAAAAACTTACTCTGTTCAGTTGTTGAGCTAGCTGTCATTCCGTAAGTAGGTATAATTGTCAGTTGCACGTTTCGATTCACTGCTGTGAATATTACCAGAGGCTGAGAGTTCTACCTGGCCTCAGCACTTTTTCAGAAATTGAGCTTGACACCTCGGTCTGTAATGTGAAAACATCATTCCCTGGAACTCTTACTTACATACCTACTGGACTCCAATTTGGCTGATGGGCCGCTCCTTGGCCAGGGTTCAACGAGCAGAGACAATCCTGCTGACAGCGGTGAAACAATTAATGCCCTGTGAAGTTATGATGCTGGCAGCTGCCCTTGTCCCATGTAGTGCTTTCTTTCAGTGCTATCTTTCATTTTGCTGCTTCACATGCTGACATTATAGTTAGATATCTGGCTTACATCACGAGAAGGAGGGAAGATCAAGCTAAATCCAGGGCGTCTGCGATAATCAAGTGTTATTACCATTTTAAAGTATTGACTTAATGTCCAAGAAAACCAATATACTGTATACTCAGGAACAGCAAGTGCAATTGTGCAATGGTGTTCTGCAGTATTTTTTATTATATATTTTTAAATATATATCACACAGTCAGCTTATTAAATAAGTACAGCTTGGAAAGAATACAGTAATCTACTGGCCAAACTATTTATTTATTTATTGTTTTTAGATCTTGGGGGCAGAAAATGAGGTAGTCAGCAATGGTTTAAAGATAAAAATGCCTAAATGATGGATTTGTTTCTTACAAAAACAAATCTTTTCATTTCATAAGATATGAATTAGTTAATTGATGGACTGGAGTGGTGTGGATTATTGTGATGTTTTTTTCAGATGTTTGGACTCCCATTCACTGCAGAGGATCCACTGGTGAGCAAGTGATGTAGTGCTAAATTCTCCAAATACTTTCCAATGAAGAAACAAACTCATCTACATCTTGGATGGCCTGAGAATATTCATTATTGGGTGAACTATTTCTTTATTGTTTATTTTGTATGTAGCCATCCAAGTTTGCAATAAAGACTTTAATGGCCTATAGAAGGTTACAGAACTAACAAGTAAAGAAGACTAAATCTGGAACCCTTTATTTCTTAAAAAAACTAAGTTTCAACCATCAAAACTTGAGAGAGGATGAGACCGCGTTAGACACACACAGTTCAGAGTCTCGCCCAGGTATTGCGGTTTGATTAAGTTGGTTTGACATGTTCCAAACCATTATGTCATTTCCACTATATCAACTATAAAACTCTCATTTAAATGAGTTTAAATTAGTAAATGGCTTCATATATATATATATATATATATATATATATATATTTATTATATCCTAATTAATATTATTATTAAATAAAAAATAAGAAATCTTGGCCCATTTTTTTTTTGCCAAACTGCTTTAAATGTGACAAACCAGTAGATACCAGATACCAGTAGAATACCATTTATTCACTGCTCTTTTTCGGCCCTCAAAGTATTCAGGTCAGAACATTGACTAAACTACTCTAAATCTTGCATTTTTGTTTCCTTTCAGCCATTCAGATCTGCAATTGCTTCTGAGTTTTGGTTTGTTGTCTGGCTGCATCACGCGGTTACACTTAAGCTTCAGCTTATGCACAGATGGATGGATATTCTTCCTAAGAATTGCCTGGTATACAGCAGAACTTATGCTTCCTGCAGTGATAAGTCATCCAGTTCCCAAGACAGCAGCACATCCGCACAGACTCAAGCTGTCACTATATGTTTCACTATAGATATGACATTCTTGCAGTAGAATGCTGTATTAGCGGTACTCGTCTATCCATAGGATATTTCCCCAGAATTCATCCAGGGATCATCCAGGTGCAAACATGAGATGAGCTTTGATGTTCCTCTTGGCAAGCAGTGGTTTTTCGCCTTGCTACTCTTCTTATTGTTCTCTTTATAAGTCGTGAACACCGACCTTATAGCTGATGCTAGAGATATCGGCAGTTCTTTGAAAACATATTCTGGGATTTATCTGAAACTTCCCGAGGGGGAGCCACAATGCCCTTGAAGAAATTTTGGCAGGCTGGCCACTTTTGTGTGTTCACCACCACTTCGAACCTCCTCCATTTGAAAGTAATGACTCACATTGTGGTTCAATTGAGTCCAAGAACCTTTGAAATGGCTTTGTAACCCTTTCCAAACTGATATTCTTAAAAAAACTTTTTTTTCTCAGCAGTTTTTTTTTTTTTTTTTTTGAGGAATTGAATGTGGAGTATGAAGCTTTG